GGCGCCGGGCCCCCCCCCCCAGCCTGCCCCCACCCCCACGCCTCCGCAGGCCGCCGGGGCCTTCCCTCCTTCAACCCCGGCCCCTGCGGCGGCGCACCCGGGCCCCCGACCGAGCTCTGGGGGGCCCCTACCGGGCCCACCCTGCCCCTAAGCCGGACCGAGGTGGAGAGCCCGGTACGGGGGGCGCTCAGGGCTTCTCTCACGTTCCTCCTGTCTGCCTGCAGTTCCTGCCCAGGCACCAGCAGCTGAGCGAGAGGGTGCGGAAGCGGCTCTATTATGGCTGGGACAAAGACTGCAGCCTGGATAATCTCTCCAGCCCCGTGGCAGGTGGGTTGCTGGGCGTCCCCAGGCGGGAATGCTGAGTCAAGGGGGTTGGAAGTAGCCCAGGGGCTGAGACCAACAAGTCACCCGCTCCCTCCCCAGCGCCAAATCCCACCCCTGCCCAGCCTTCCTCCATGTGCGCAGCACAGCGGGCAGGGCGCCAGAGCCTCATGGCTCCTGCTCTCTGTTTTATTGCCCTGTCTGGCCCACTGCTGCATTTTTGGCACCTCGATGGTGTGCAGATTCCTTTAGGTTGCTTGCAAATTCCTTGGCAGCGAAGGCTGCGTCCCTGTCCTTGATGAGAGATGTCTTGGACAGCTTCTTGTGCTCTGCGAGTTACTGGGGAGTTCATTTAACTTCTAGTTCTGAGCAGCAAGGGGACAAGTTCATGCCATGTGTTTGTCTGGATCGCATCCCTTTTGTCCTGTTCATTCAGCAGTGTTTTGAGTGAGCAGAAGGACGCAGTTGGGTTGAGGCTGAGGAGCTGGTGCAGGTGACAGCTGAGAGGAGCGGTCAAGGGCAAGCAGTGGTTTGCTGGAGGGCCTTCAGAGTAGGGTCACGTTAGCGGTTCCATTAGCTGCATGCTCACACAGCTTGCAGGGGGCGTTGAGCAGGTGGGGAAGTGTGCTTGCATTCAAAACTCTTGCGATAGTTCTGGGGAAATGGTCTGAAGTTGTCGAGAGGCTGCATGTGATCCCCCCAGCGAGGAGGGGGATGCTGGGCGCATGGTGCTGGAGCAGGGCTGGGCAGGGCGGCTGGCTGCCTGGGTCCTGCTGGGAGTCATGAGTTCTGGCGCGAGGGAGGCACGCGGCTCGCCTTTGGGGCTGGCGTCGCACCCGGGTGCGAGATGGGACTGGTCCACAGGACGCTACCAGTGTGGAGAGTTCAAAGGACACACTCATGGAAGAAGACTCTGTAGAGGTCTATTAACTATAAAGACTGCCTCACACCCAGGAAATGCCTTGGCTCCAGCAGCTGGGGGCGGGAGCAATGCGCAGAGAATATCACTGCGAGCTTATCTGCTCTTACAGCCTTTCTTGGCCAGCTGCTATCAGCCACTGTCAAAAAAACAGGACCTAGCGATATGGCATCTGTCTTGGTGCAACCGTGCCACTGCTACGTGGCGACTTCATGGCGCTGCTCTTCAGATGAGATAGAGGCAATTGTGGGGAGAGTCCAGAGCAGCAGGAGGAGCTGGAAAAGGTCTTTGGCATTGGGGGGCAGTCGCAGGAGGCAACGTGGGGCTGGCTGAGGAGAAAGATGTTGAAAAGTGAATTTGTTCCTTCTGGAAAGGAAGCACCGTCACCACCCTCAGCATGCCGTGGCTGTGACATGGGGACCGCGATCAGCTGCTCTCCCTGTCCTCTAGGGCAGGACACGTTGTCATGGGTTGGATTTGTGGGCTGAAGGATTAGGTTTGGTGTTGGGACAAGGTCTCACGGGGGAAGCGGATCTCATCCCTCAGAGCCCTGCCGCTGTCTCTGCATTGGCCAGTGTGTGTGTCCCTGCTCAGCACAAGGGTGGCCAAGCAGGGCAGAGAGAGGAGCAGCAGTGTGAGAAGTGGGAGCTGCTGGTGGGTGGCTGGCTGGAGCTGTGTCTGCCTGCTGTGGATCCTAGCTTGAATGACCTGGGAAGGTCCCTTAGAGCAGTGTGTTTCTGAGCTTGGTGGCTGCTGTCAGGCAAATAATTCCTGTGGGACTGCAGCTGTTCTCGTAGTTGCTGGAGAGACATGAAAAGGAGGGGTGTGGAGAGAAGAGGTGGTGTGGTGGTGCTTCCTCTGGGAGCTGGAAATGCGAGGCTGCTGGCACGAGCTCTGCTCTCGACTCTGCCAGCCAAGGGCTCAGCAGCAAAAGGGAGCTGGAGTTGCCCGTCAGACACTTATTGCCGAGCACCAGACTGCAGGGCTGTTTGGGATGCTCCCAGCTGGTCCTATCGCACTGAGAAGTGAGACAGGAGCTGCTGAAGCCATCTGCCAGCATCCGTCAGTCTCTGTCCTTTTCAGTGCCTGAATGCTGAGGCATGTCCGTGGGTGGGGGGAAACGGGCTGAGGTGAGGAGCTGCAGTTATATCGTATTGCTGCTTCCATGCCCTGTTAGTGCCTTCTGGCTCCTGTTCACGTGAATGTGTTGTCCATTGTCATCTTGGGGGCACTAGGGCTGTGCTGGGGAGAAAGCTGGGCCAGTGCTGACCAGCTCTGGAGGATGATGCTCGTTGGAGGGGAGCAAAGGACTGGGAAGACCGGGTGTTGACATCAGGTCCTGGAAAGCCTCTGAAAGGGCTGCCTGAGGTCTTGTGGGGTGAAGGGAGGGTGTTAGCCTCTCTGTGCAGCTGACTGCTGGTAACTCCCTGTGACGCAGACATGCTAATCTGGATCTGGCACTGCCGCTGGGCCTTGGACACTGACATCCTCTTCCTGCTTTGGTCTGGCTGTCCTGCCTATTTGTTTGTTCCTCCCTCATCCCTGACTTCTGATAAGGCCTGCCCTACCTTCATAGTTTAATTCAAACTTGGGGAGCTGAGCAAGCACCAAGGCTCAATGGGCTTGTGGGGAAAAAGGGAAGGGTGGGGGTGAACTGTGCCATATGGGGCTAACCCCTTTTGATGCTTTTCTGTCTTAGATATTGCTGTGGAGTTGCTGCAGAAAGTGGCTCCCAGCCCTATCCGCAGACTCCAGAAGAAATACGTGTCTCATGTATCTCGGTAAGAAGCAAAACCTGTCCCTTCATGTCCTGTGTCAGAACTGGGAGCTCTGGTCCTGCCTATGACTCACTGCTGTCCCCTGGGCCAGCACTGGCTTTGTGCTTAGGCCTGGTTAGTGTCAAAGAGGAGCTGGGGGCGGGTGGCAAGGCCAGCAGGCACAGTGGCTTCCTGACACAGCCAGGCCTGCTTCAGGTTGGTCCTGCTCTCTGGGGTGCAGGGGTGCTCTTGTTACTGGGAGTCTGCACTGGCTGGATCTGGAGCTCACTGGGCAGCCAGGTCTGAACCCTGGCTCTGCTCTTGGCAGCCGAGCCCCTGCAGCGTGCCTGGCTGCAGGCAGGGCTGCCCAGTTCGGAGCCAGCTGTGCCTGGGTACAGGAGCCAGGGCTTTCTGCTCTCCATCCTGCATCCCCTGCACTTTCTCTTGCTGCAGCTCAGGGTAGCCAGCGCAGAGCTGGCAAGGCTGGGACATGTCTAGCTGTCTATTTACTAAACCTCCCCACTGCCTCCGTGGGGAGGGAGCAGCCAAGTTGTACTGTGGTGACTGGTATGTTTGTAGCACGCAAATAACCTTCGGGTTGGCTCTTGTCTGGTCCCACAGGGAAGCTTGCATCTCGCCCTGCTCCATGATGCTGGCACTGGTTTACATTGAGAGACTCCGGCACCGGAACCCCGAATACCTCCAGCAGATCTCATCGTCGGACCTCTTCCTGATCTCCATGGTGAGCGGTGTGGGCGGGGGGGAGGGGGTGTCACTGGGTTGGAGGGAGGCCTGGAGAAGCGCAGGGGGGACTGATGTCCTGTCCTTTGTGCTGCTTTTAGATGGTTGCTAGCAAGTACCTGTACGACGAGGGTGAGGAGGAGGAGGTGTTCAACGATGAGTGGGGAGCAGCAGGGAAGGTGGATGTCCAGACCATGAACACACTGGAGATGAACTTCCTGAGCGCCATTGTAAGTGGGGCTGTCACTGCGGCCAAGTAGTTCACAGGGCGGGGGGAAAGGAGGTGTTAAGGGGAGTCTGGATTTCTGCTTTTCCCCAACGTGCTCCCATGAAGGAACGGAGAAGGATGTGTCCGGGTGCTGGGTGGCCTGCCCTGACTGTGCTGACCTTTCACTGCTGTCCCCGCAGGACTGGAGTCTCTACACAGACCCCCGGGAGCTGTTTGAAGTGCTGAGCTGGCTGGAAGGACGGTAGGTGTGTGGGCTGGGGGTGAGCCTTTCATCCACCCTGCAGCCCTGGCTCTGCCCCTGCTCAGAGCTAGCCCTGCTGCAGGGAAATAAGAGGTTGGGGTACCGTGAGCCTTCGCTTGGCTCTGCAGCTCCCTTCCATAGACCTGGAGCAGGCTCTTCTCCAAGCCTGCCTGGGCTGAAGCTTCTTCGATGGAGAAAAGGTCCATGCCACATCCACCATTCCCCTTTTTTCCTGCAGTGTGGCAGAAAAGCAGGGCATGTGGCGTGGCTGGTTCACCTACACGGATCTGTGTGTCCTCATGGAGCAGTCCGTGTGGCAGCACGTGCTGGGCCAGTTCTACCAGCAAGTGGTGAAGGTAAGGGCATGGGGCAGCAGCTGCTTGCAAGAACGTCTGGCCCAGCAGGCCGTGGGTTTGGAGCAGGACCCTCTTTTCCACTGGAAGCAGCAGCTTGGTTTATTCCCTTGGTTTATTCCCAAGGGAGGCTGTCAGAAGCCAGAAGATGCTGATTTGCAGCTCTGCTGCCTGAGGCACTGCAGCCTGGTGCTGGGTTAGTCTGTGCCCTGTGCTGGCCTGCAGCCCCACAAGTCATGGTGCAAGGTCATGGTGGTGGCATGGAGGGAACTGGTTGCTGGCTGGGGATTTAAACAGGGGCCATTAGGTTTCATCTGGGGCATTTTGGTTTGTGGTATTTAGGCCCTGATTTGAACAGGCTGTGTGCCCCCTGCTGTTAGCAGCGTGGCTGCCTGCTCCCTGGCATTCGGCCCCAGTGCTGGTTGTGCCGTTTGCCATCATGGCTGGTGGGTCAATGCGTGGCCATGCTGGGTCACAGCTGGGTGCGGGAGGCTGCTGGGGGGTCTGGGCTAACCATCGGCTTCTCTGCAGCTGGCCTGCCTCCTGGGCGTAGTGTACCTGACTGGCTTTGTCACCGTCTTCGCCTCCGTCACTGTGGTGCACCGGTCCATGTGCATGAGGAGCGTCAGCCCCGCAGCCCCCCGGTCTGTGCTGTTCCCTGAGGAGGGCAGCTGCCAGCTGGATGCCCAGCCAGCCCCAGCCCCTGACCAGCCCCAGCCCGAGCTGCCCGACATCTCTCCAGCCAGCGGCACCCATTGCCTGGGGGAGAACGAGACAACCGAGGAGCCGCGTCGCGGAGGTGTCACGGCGACTGCGCTCTACCTGTGGGGCAGCGTCATGACAGCTCTGTCTTACCCAAAGGCGCCTGATCTAGCCCAACACAGGAGCCCCCCGCAAGGCCCCTTCCGGAGAATACCCACCGCCTGTGAGAGATCTAACCGTACTGCCCCCGCTGCAGCCCCCGGCCAGCCTGGCCCCTTCGGACTCGCCGTGCTCCCGGTTCCTCCGGCACTCCACTGCCATGCCTGCTCAACCGGTGCGGGCCCCACATGGGATGCAGCCCCAAACCGCAAGGACTGGCTGGACCCCTTGGGGCTGAGGCAGTGCTCCTTGCCCACTGCCATGGATCTCAGCAGAATCAAGAGCTTCATTTTTCCCAGCTAGGAGCACAGGGCAGCAGGCCCTTTCCCCTTCCCTCCTAGTGTGGCACAACTCGCTTCCTTGCACTTCTGGGACCTCTGATCCCTGGGGCTGCGTGGGGCTGGAGGCCCCTGCGTTACTTCCAAACCAGCATTTATGTGTCCCCCCCGGCCCAGGGCAGGGATGTCCTTCACTTTGGGGGCTGCTGGGACAGGTTGGGGCAGAGCTGGCTTGCTGTTGGGGTGCTGGGGTGGGAACCTACTATCTGGAGGGTTGAAATGGGGTGCCCTTGGGCTGGGGTGCTAGGGCACGGGGGGTGTTTTACCTCTTCCTACAGCAAGAGGGTGCCCCTTGGTGGTGCTGGGCAGAGGTGGTGTGTGGGATGTAGGATGTGGAGGCTGTGTGTGCAGGGTGGAGGGGCTGGGGCAGTGACCCCAGTGGGGCAGCGGGGTGCTCCGGGAGAAGGTGGGGTGCCTGGGTGAGGGGAGAGGAGGTAGAAGGAGGGTGAGAGCGAGCAGCCCGAGCTGGCTGGCCATAGCGGCAATTTGCCTTGGGGGCTGCCAGGCCACTTCTCAGGAGGTGCAAGGGTCATACCAAGAGGGGACCCCAATGTGGCTGTGCCCCAGGGAAAGGTTGTGCCCTGCTGGGCTTGGAGGTGGTGAGGTGTGTTTAAGGCCGAGCTTCCTTATCCTGCTTGTGTTGGGTGCTTTGAAACTGGGGTGCTCTGTGACCCCATCCCAAACCCCAGCTGTCTGGCTGTGAGCAAACGGTGCCTGACTGCTCCTCGGGGCGGGGAGAAGGCACTGTGTCTTGCTGACCAGCCCGGCTCATCGTGCCCCTTTTTACTGTGGATTTTACACCCGTTTTTCACTCTTTTGTAGATGCAAATCTCTTCCAATAAAAGTAGTTCTTGCTGTGTGCCTGCCTTGTCCTGCTGAGCTGCTCCGTGCTGGCAGCGCGGGTACCCCACTGTGGAGCCCCATCGATGCAGCTGTGCTTGCTCTCCGAGCCAGGGTGCAAGGCAGATCCTAGGTGCTGGCAAGTGAGCCCTGGAGCAGCGAGGCCTGTCCTGCTGGGCTCAGGAGGGACCAGGCTTTCTGGTGACAGGGGGCAGGAGAGACATCAGGTCTGGTGCCTGGGGAAGGCCAGGGCAGCGGGAGAGAGGAGTTTCCCCATCCTTGGGAATGTGGGGAATGCATGGTCTCCACTGCTCTTTGCTCTCCGAAGTCTGTCTGGTTAATGAGTGAGCCCCGAGCAGCAAGGGCTTGGCAGGGTCGCCGTTGTGGTCGCTGGCACAGCCACCTCTGCCCCGTGACAAAAACACGAGCACCCCCTGCCTCTGCCCCCTTGGGAGCCTTCCCAGCCACGCAGGCAGCCCTCATCCTTGGCATCCTTATCCTGCAGCAGGATTCAGTGCCCCTCTCCTAGGAGCATGGGGAACATGACAGAACCCCATTGGAGACCCTCCTGGTGTGGGCGCGGTGCCCGGGGAGGGGAGTGGCAGACCCGGGGGGAGCTGTGCAGCTATTAACGGGCTCCTCTGGGCCTGATGGTGAGGAAGGGCTGGACCAGGAGGGCAGGGGGATGCTGTCCTCCAGCTCCAGCGTGCCTGCACGGGCAGGGCACGCTGGAGCTGGAGGACTCTTGTTGGTGAGGATGCTCCAAGCACGTGAAGGAAGAGGTGTCTGTGCTGTGGCCCCCCCAGTCCCTGCCCCATGTACCCCAAGAGGCAGGGACGGGACCTGGGCTGTGGGCAGCTGGCACTGTACCAGCGTCTGTTGTCCTGGCCATGGGTGGCTGTCGCCTGGCCCTTGCGGTGACAACCCAGGGTGACACTTGCATTCCTGGCTGCAAGGGCAGGTTACTCACCAACTCGAGTTAATGGCTAACGTTGGGGCAGCTCCTGCAGAAGGTGGAAGTTCAGACGTGTGCGGGCTGTGAGGAGCCCTCGGGGGGGGGGGGGGGGGGGCA